CTTACTTTCCGATGCAATGGCAACCAAGGTATTAAAATTGATGTCAAAACTTTCCCATACAATATCCGATGTCGTCTCGGTTAAGCAACTCCAGTAGGTATTTTCAACTAGCTTTTCCAATGTGTCATGACGTGTTATGGTATTCCCCCATGTTGTATTCTGAATAGCACGTGTACATGAATAGTAATGTTGCATGAGCACTGCGGCCGGGAGTTGTGTCGATGAGCACCTCATAAACGTGAGTACTTCGTTGGTGAATATCCGGTGTAGTACAGATTGCCTGTCTTCCTCTCTGAATCTGGTGACAGTATTTATGTGGTCATAAAGCAAGAAACTGGTGACAGATTATTGCAGATCTGCTTTGTACTGTTCTTCAGAGGTGGCTTGGGATTCCAGGACAGGGATTGTAGGAGCGTCAGTGATAAGAATGCGGCCGTACCTCTTGTAAACTATGCGCCTCAGTGCGAATGCCACATTGAAATGCATCTCGGGCATAGAAGATGGAGGGAGGAAAAGAACAGTTACCAAGCAAGCGTGATTGTCTCTCAAGCGTAGACGGCCTAGGAGCACCATCAGCATGCCGATACGCAGTATCGACACTTCTTTACCGTGCGACCATTGCCACTCTCATGTGGTCTAAGGATACTGCGAGGGTCGCCCGCTCCCCTAAGCAGGCTCGAACCCGTGCCCTCAGATTATAAAGCGGGCGTAGAAGGCACTGAAGGAATCCTGCACCATGTTGGTCACATCATCTAAGGGTTCACATTGGAGCTGACTGTGGAAGTGCAGAGCCACTCCAACCCCTTTACTGTCTCGACCGTGCCGAACAACGGACCTGCTTGGTAACGCGACCTCGATGTCACTGCGCGGCCAGCTTAAACTGCTGGCCTCTCAGAGGAGTGTATTCAATGCGTTGCAAAAGACAGTGGCATGAGGTTGCGTGGTGGGAGACGGGGAGATTTTCTGGCCAATAAATCATATGACACCACGAAACGTACGCATTTTGGCAGCTGTGTCGAAGTTTATGCGGCCCCATGACGTACACCTGGATAAACGGCAGTTATTTCTCATCTTCAATTGAGCATATTACGGCGAATTCTGCGATCTGACCGTCGCATAATCACTGGTTCATATGTACGTTGAATCAAAGGATCTACCGCAATTGGTACCCCAACTGACGAAGCGAGGTGTGTTTATACCAGTTTCATCACTTATTTCCCTTACCCCAAGATTTTTCTCCATCTGAGTGACCAAAACTAGGTTGCTTTCGCCCCAATTCTGTTTTTGCTTACACATAAAGAAAATGCCATTCCTTGCTTACTAATCTTTGTCTCTTTTATGCAGCCCACAGCGAGAATCACCACCTCCGAGTAAACGATTACAACAACGTGGTATCCGGCCTAAGTCTTCCTAGATTCGACATGACCAGAGGATATAGGCAGAAAGGTGAGTGGTATTGAATTCACTTTCCCTGAAATGCAATAACTTTCTTATTTTTGAAGTATACGTTTGAGGTATAAATGTCACAGCCTCCGAGTCGATGTCAAGCTAGCCCAAAACTACTACGGATGAAGAAACTATATATATATATATATATATATATATATATATATATATATATATATATATATATATATATTGTTGGCGGCATTCGGTTTCGGATTTGCCTGTCACTGTGGCAGCAGTCTATACAATTGTCATCGGCTCACAGAGAAACTGAGAGAGAGAAGCAATATGTGTAATAAATATAAAGATCATTAGAGATCTTTCGTTTTCCACGCCGCTTTTCTGTCAGTTTAATGATTGCGGTTTTGATATATAGAATCAACGCAAAGACTCATGCAAGTTATCCATTCTCTGCGACTACGCATCATATCCTCAAGAGTCTCCAACCAGCAAAGTTCTTCATCCCTGACTCCCCAGCCCGAAAGACGTGCGCAACCGACAACAGCTAGACTGGAAGTCAGCGCCTTGACGTTTTGTCGCCATGTAGTAGGTTGGCCACCGCGCGATTTCTTCCAGTGCGGCCCTACGCGAGGGAATAGAGAGCGATATGGTAAACGCTCGCATGGTATGCGTAGGACGTGACCTAGCAACCTCAGTTGACGCAGCTATATTAGTAGGTTAAGACGTACGCTCGTATAACCTAGGACGCGAAGTCTAACATCAAGGTTGCCCACCACACACGAGTTATCCTGCGCAGATAACGGTTGTCAAAGGCCGAAATCCAACGCAACTCATTCACACGGATCGGCCAAGCCTCACTTTCCTACAACAGGACCCCACAAACGCAGGCATTGTAGAACGTGCTCTTTACCGATAGTGAAACGTCCTGACGACGCCACAGCTGCCTCAGATCATGAAGGCTGATTGGGCTTTGAAAAAACAGAGAAATCTCATTACCGATGATGGCATCAGCAGAAACGCAGCTCTCAAGGTAGATTCTAGCTGTTCAAGCTGCTCAGTCTCAAGGATCTGCACGGGGGCAGGTGGATGTCAGTCTTGGAGTAGGACCTTGCATTTCTATGGTGTGAAATTCATGCTATACTGAGGAGCTTCAATCCGCAAGCGGGTTTGAACGACCTGCATGAGCCGTGGGTTGTCATCGAGCAAGGCAATAAATAAATAAATTGGTATAGTTACCGACAGACGGTACACTGACCCATAAGTGGGAGCGATCATTTGTATAGTGAATACGTTTCATAGCATTAAAGAAAAGTTTATTGATAGCATTTCGGATCATGATTATTTTTTCTTGAGTCCTAGACCAGTGCAACTCATATGTAAAATTTACGGATGTTTGTATCGTCAGGAGTAGACAATAAAGGGAAGGACTACTAGGCTGTAAAGACACATGACTTGGTTTGGTATGTAATGACATGTATTGGGTAAGCTAGCTGTAAGCGATTATCTTCTCATATGTTGTTTATACCAACTTCTGTCAATGTTTCTAGTGTTTGCTGGGAGTCAAATATCTTCAAAGCATTTGGTATAGTGAGGAAGGTCTGAAGGAGATTTCGAAACGTTACATGGCTTGTACACATGCGTATCTGTAGGGGTAGTTTGTTCCACAGATAAGTGTATCTCACTAAGAAGAAATTCGACCGAATTTTATGACATGCAAGGTTTGTAGGTATCAAGTGGCCGCCATTACGTGTGGGGTAGACTGCAGTCTTCCGTAGTTCTAGTGCGGTGCTGTCTGCGTAAATTCGTTGGCTTATAATACTGTAGGAGAGAACGACGTTGTTCTTTAAGCGTCTCAGCCAAAGTGGATCCAGCTGGAGTTTTCGACAGCGATCGTAATAAGTCAGGTGTGAGCAGCGCACCATGAGCAGCTTGGTAAATGATCGTTGGACATTTTCCAGGGCCGTTCTCTCTTTCTTTCTCAATTGGCTGTGACCTATAGTACAATATTCCAGAGTCGGTCGTACTATTGTCTTGAATGACTCAACTCGTGCTTCTGGTAGGGAGAAAATTCTGATGATATATCCGCATAACTGCCTTGCTTTCGCAACCTGATAAAGAACATGTTCAGAGAAATTGAAAGAGTTGGAGTATCTAATTCCTAAGTTCCGAACTTAATCAGATGTTGGGATCACGTTTCCGTTAAGTATAACGGAGCCTTCTGGGATGCGGCATCTGTACCCAAGTACTTGGGATTTCACTGCGCACAACTTCATTAATAAACGCTCGCTAGCTGTATTTAGTGCGGTTAGGTCTTCACAGATGTTCCCCAAACACATAGGTAGTTGGTCTGGATAAAATGAGTAAACAATTTTGACATCATCTGCAAACAGAAATGGGTGTCCATGTTTGATCGGGTCACATATATTGTTTACGTAGATTAAGAAAAGTAGTGGTCCGAGCACACTTCCCTGGAAGACACCGCTGGTTATTGGCTTCGGTGTAGAATGTTGCTGACCGATTTTAACGACCTGAGTTCGACCGTTTGGGTATGAGTCGAACCAGTTAAGCGGCGGATTTCCAATTCCATATGACTCTAGAGCAGACAGTAGTGGCTGGTGTGGCACGCTGTCGAACGCCTTTTGCATGTCCTTTTACATGTCATCAACGTGGCCTAAGTCACTCGCGCGGTAACCTGGAAGAAACTCTAAGCCAGTATCCTGGAGACCTTTCAGAGCGCTTAATAGGACATCTGTAATCGAAAACTTGAAGAGAAACGATGACATGGAGCATCCCGGTCGCACGTCGCTAGTGAGGGTGAAAGGTGAAGAGAGCATACTGTAGACTCTCACTCTATCACAGACATTAATTTATAAATCTCAAAGCATGGTAGTATACCTTCCGCACACCCTATTCCTTTGCAGACAATGCCATAGAGCAGACCGGTTGACCGAGTCGAGCGCAACTCAGAGATCCAACGAGGAGACAGTAGTAGGCTGCTGATAAAGGTGACGCTGCTCGAGCAGTTGGCGGAGTTTAAACATGTGGTCCACACACCCTTAACCAGGGCAGAGAGCAGTCTGTTGCTAACAGGTGTGTTGTTCTCGAACCGGTGTTAGTGTGTGCAGTAGAATGGATGTAAGCGATTTGGAAGCGACGGATATTAGACTGCTTTCTATGGTTTGGCACATGTGACACGAGCACCCTTTTTGAAGATGGATATGATGATGGACTAGTCCCAAAAGGATGGAATCTTTTGTTCACACCAGGTCTTCGAGAACAAAGCGGTTAACTGGTTGACATTCGTCTCGCCACCGTATTTGAACAGCTCCGGATGAAGTCCGTCTGAGCCAGCAGACTTGAAGGACTTCAAGTGACGAAACTCAAGGCAAACCGTTTCGCTTGGCGGTTCCAGTGAAATCTTCCAAGGTGCACATCATCAATAGACATTAGATAAGGGTGAGAAACACACCTCAGTTAAGGTGCCGCGATATTAAAAAGATGATACTAAAAAGATTACACTACAAATGCTTCAAAAAACAAGCAATATCTTAAATGTTATGTTATGTATTTGGTATGTTATCGTAATTGGTTTGGAGAACTAAAGGAGAAGGGATGGACAAGGAAATTCACAACCCAACCGCCATTAGGGTCGGTTCCTAGCATTATTATCAAGTGTGTCCAACCAAACGTCTTCATCGTACTTAGGAAACCGGCCAGGCAGTCGGGAGGCACCAACTGAGGACAACTTCGAACTGAGGGTTTTCATTTCTCTCGGCCAATTCGTCGCTTGGCCTCCCCTCCACCAACTTCAACCACACCCTGGCTCGCAAACAACGCGCAGGGCTCCCACCAGACATGAGCCAAGCTGCGAAGGCAGCGATGATCGGACGTGACCAGCCTCTTTATGTCGGTCGACCTGATGGGCCAGGTTTCACAACCGTATAAGAGGGTTGAAAGGACGGGTGCATCATAAACGCTGCCATTCACGGCTAGAGTGATGTCGCGGTGGCGCCATAGGTGACAGAGATTGGTAAAAGCACCCCGACCTTCTACTATACGGTTCGTGACCACATCTTCGATCCCAAGGGCGCTATTATAGCTGTCCATGTACTCGAATCCCTGAACGATTTCTAGCTGATCACCACCAAGGGTCAGCGCAGGGATGGGTCCCCGCGCGAGTGGTCCTACCTGTTCCACGGGATGAAGGACGAGGCCAGATGAATTGAGAGTCGAAGTGCCCAGCCCATGGGTCCGTGCGCCTATGCAAGTTAATAGTTGGTGAACCGTCAAACTCGGAAATAGCTTGACTGAAGCCAGGTCTTCTGTGGCTTGTGGTCCGAATGGGTTAGAAAAGTTCACGAAAGTTTCCAAAAGGAGCTACTATCTCCATCTCTGAAGCGCGCTGAAACCAGAAAGTTTCGCGGTCGTTACGCAGGCTTTCATTGAGTTGTTGGCTGTGGTTGCGGCGGGCACAACCGCAGCTTGAATCGGCTAGGATAATTTGGCAATAGTCAAACAATTCCAAAGAGCGAGTTGAGATCTAGCCTCTCACTGGACGCCCAGCAATTCCACAGCATGATTGACTGGAAGAAAGCAACGTTTAATGTAAGATATTCCATTGATGTTCGACAACTCTAAGTGGAGCACGAGCGAGCACATCTGATAATGAAGTTTGATAGATCATTCGCACGGAGGGGTAGGCTAGCCTATTGGTATCCAGCGTACGGTGCATTGGTTTGGACGAACCACCAAAGCTCATGCCAAAGTCCACACCGACCGGAGCGTGATCTGAGTAGAGGTAGGTGGACCAAATCGATTTGCAATCCCGTACACTGTCCCGCCATTTGATGCTGATTGCGATATGATCAGTTTTTGACCACGCTTGTGTTGACGAACAGGGACGCCGAGTGGCAGCGCCTCTCCTTGAATGCCTGAATTTCGTGCTCACGAAAAAGAGGCGGTAGTCCTCATATGATGTGAGAAGTCTATCTTCCTCATCATAGTGACTATCATCAAGAGCATGACGACCACTAAGATGA